TGTGTGCTTGTGTGTGTGTGTGTGTGTGTGTGTGTCTCAGTGGTCAGCAGCAGCCTTTGCCAGTTGAGCACCAGCACGTCCATCCTCAGTGACCCTTCCCGCTTGCCCGAAGAAGCCATCCAGGCCCTGAGGCACGCCGACGTGGAGCCTTGCTCTCAGGCCATCTGATGACGATCCTCTTCCTCCTCCTCATCATCATCATGGAGGACTGAACTCATCTTCGTCATTTCACACCTTCTCAGGCCATCTGATGACGATCCTCTTCCTCCTCCTCATCATCATCATGGAGGACTGAACTCATCTTCGTCTTTTCACACCCCGAGGGCTCCGTTTTTGTTCCCAGCTCCGGTCGAGTGTGAAATGCAGTCTCACTGTGCTCGTGGGCGGAGTTTTCTTTTTACTTGGCCTTTTTGTTGAGGTGCGCAGTTTGAAATGGATGTTTGCGCCGTTGTGGGACTGAACATAGCCGCCGTGCTTCCCAGCCAATCGAAGCGGCTTCCCCCTCGTTCCCATTCCAGGAGAGGCACGCGGTCGACTTGGCGAAAGCCTAACGGACTCGTTGGAGTCCGTGCAGAAGGTCGGCTCGCGCAAAGTATGTTTAGAAGGAATTGCAAGAAGATCTTCCATTTTGGAGGATGTAAAATTCATAATTCATTTGGTTGATTGAGTTCTACAATGATTCACAGGGTTTGGTTGTGTCAGATTTACATACCTGTCAACCTCGGCTAATACCTGCCCTTATAAATGATTACGATTCCCCTTACAAAGCAACATAAACCCGTACAACGGCTTACCGTGCATGCGCACATCATGCTTAATCAATCCGACCGTATGCAGCGATGAAAAAAAATATACGATTGAGGATACTTTTGCTGGTTTGCCGTGACAATAGTGGCGATCGACGACAGTATTGTCGTTGGCTATCAGCAGGTGAGACCATCTGGATTTGAGCCAAAATGGTCTTTGTGAGATCAGTTCACAATTGTTTGTTTGTTTGGTTTTTAAAAAGTTGTAATACGCCGTACATGATTTGAAACGATAAAAAAATAACGTATAAAATACGGGGAAAACGTAAACGTTGACAGGTATGGATTTACAAAAGGATTTTGATGACATCCACCGCACATATACAGAATTTGTCGGCCTGCACCTGGATCAAATCCACCAAAATTGTGTTACGCCACCTGCGCCACAACTTAGACCCGGTTTCACCCGGTCTAAAATCGAGTTTACTTTCCGTCGCCAAATTGTCGGCAGCACGGTGGACTTGTAATGGAAAACGGCATAATTCCCTGCGATGTCAAGCCAAATTACCAAACCCCGTCAACTCGACTTCCCCCTGGCACAAAAATGAAGACGCACCAGTTCTTACATCGAGCACGCGTGCGCCTGTGTACGAAAATAGAGCACCCGAGGCTTTCCATTGTCATCTGTGCCATAATGATTTTTTTTTTTTAATGTATTACTTGAGTGACACAGAAACAGAGAAAGCAGCATGTTTGCCTCGGCCCGGGTTATTATGAACAACCTTGAAAGCAGTTTGCATTCAAAAGGGAAATCTTTTGCTACGTTTGTTTTTCCTCATAAAGCTTGACACCAGAATGTAGCAGGGTTTTTTTTTTACCCGCTTCCGTCCCTCTCGCATTTTGCTTACTCGGCCCTTTTCTGGTGAGCGACATAACCTCCAGCCCTCATAGGGAGCTTCACCGAAATGGCAATAAAACACACGGATTGTTCACTCGTCTCTTTAAATGTGTACAGTGCAGCGAAAAAGTAGTTGGCTTCTTTTTTCTTTTGCATTGTTTCCTCACTTTAATATTGTCGTTCATCAAGTACATGTCGATATCAAAGATGTCAAAGTAAACATCAAATGCTGTTTTGAAACGATTCCTTTTTCCACACAAGGGCCAGCAGGTAGCTTGGAATTGTGTTTTCATTTTTTTTTCCGACATAAACAGAATCCCAATTTTAAAACTGCATTTCCTGTTTGTACATTTGTTTGATCATCCAAAATATTCAAGTGGAGAAACGACCAAAATAAGAATTTTAGGAGGAAAATACTTTTTCATGCCACTGTATATTAACTGTATGGATTATTTTTGTCCTCACCTTTCTATTTGTGTGCGTGCGTGCGTGTGTGTGTGTGTGTGTGTACAGTTTTTTTCTCCATCAACATCACGTTCTTTGTCGGGATCTCAGGTCAGCGCCGGTGAGCGCGTGAAACAGTGTCGCATTTTGTTGTCTTCACCAAAGTGTTTTGGTCACCACATCGCACACTGCGGCGTTGTTCTCTTGCAACAAATGTCATGAACTCACGCAGTGTCACGTTTTGGCCTTAGCGTTTTTAATCAGGGAAGAAGGCCGCGCCGTGCTTTGTCCTCAACATTTGTGAGCAGGATGCACGTTTTTAATCAGGGAAGAAGGCCGCGCCGTGCCGTGCTTTGTCCTCAACATTTGTGAGCAGGATGCAGCCCGTGGCCCGTTTTGTCGTCAACCGTTTGCATCACCATTTTTGGTCCTCTGCATGGTGGATGACAAAACAACGGCGCGTCGTCTTTGTCTTCAACGGGTTTTGTCACCAACAAAATCCAGGGGTTGTGCTTTTTTTTTTCTTTTGGGTGACAATTCTTATTTAATCACGACATGATGTCTTTCACATGGTTGGTCATAAAACAGTGCAGGATCATGTTTTGTACTCAACATTTTTTTTTTGCTTTATCACAAAAGTATGCATTGTCATGTTTTGTCCTTGATGCCTTTTTGTGCACTGAAAAAAGTTGAGCGGGTTTTGTCTTGAACAAACTTTTGGATGCCAAAGTCCGCTGGCATGTTTCGTCTTGATCAAATGTTTTGATTACACAAGGTTTTTTTTTTTTTGTCTTTTCTTTTGTTGTTCTCAACAACCCTGTTGATCAGAAAAATGGATGGTCACATTTCCTCTTCAACAACTTCCTTGATCTATTGTCATGTTGTCCTCAATATTTTTGGAGATGGAACAATGCATGGTCATGGATTTTTTTTTTAAATGACCCAATGCATCATGTTCTACCTTCAGCAAACTTTTTGTTGACAAAATCCATTGTGTTTTATCTACGGCAAAGTTTTTGATGTCGAAATGCATTGTCCTGGTGTACAAACTTCCTGATGACTCACAGCATGATCATTTTTGACGGTTGACAAACTTTTTGATGACGAAAAGCAATCGCGTTTTACCCCCCTACAAATTTCAAGGACAAAATGGATTGTTTTACCTCGAGCAAACTTTTTGCTGACAAAATCCATCATGGTGTATTGTCTTCATGGACCCCTTGAAGACAACGGTGCCTTGTCATGTTTTTGAAGGTCAACCGCCTTCATCGCGTATCGTCTTCAGGGACCTTCTGAAGACCAAACGATCCATTGTGGTACGATTCCTATGAGTGATCTTCCACCTTTATGCGAGTGTCCTCAGGCGCTGTCCACTTGACAAATTTGTTTACCCGTGTATGGACTTTTTATTTTATTTTTTATTCTTTTATCGCTGTTCTTGGGGGAGAGTGCAGGCTCCAAACGTGTTCTGCAATGCTGTGGTCTTTGTACACAATTAGTCTGTTACACAATAACGTCAGCTTCCACTGAAAAATACAACACCTACACACCCCCATCATTTTTTTATTGCGTGTGTGTGTTTGTGTGTCAGTACTGTTGAAATTTGAAATCCCCTCAAATTTCCTGTACATTACAGATGCTCATCAGTAAGAGAAAGTCTGGACTTGTTGAATTTCTTTTCTTGCCCCGAACATATTGGCGCTGTAGAGTCCACCAAGCACTCTTGGACGAATTCCCCCGTCCGAAAAATGGCTTCGTGTTCTTCACGATGTTGTAGGCTATCAGAAAGCTGCCTCTGTTTACTGCTTCCCGGTAGCTTGGTAAAATCGCCTTGTTGTTCGGATAACCGCGCTCCCCCGGCCTCTGTCGAATGATTTTTTTCGACTCGTAATGCCGACTCACGTTATCCTCCTTCAAGACGGCGACCGGCTCACCACAAACTACACACACGGGTTTAACCTTGATTTCAGTAAATAAATATTTAACAGTCCGTATTTTCTTGAAACCACGGCATTCAGCGCCCACCTTCGGTTTTTGGGGGTATAGGCGGACATTTTGATGGGTTACCATTGCCGTGACTTGTTGCTAAACAAGTGGACTCGATGACAGCACCTGTGCGTAAACGACGCACGAACAGCGTAAACGTGTTTCAAAGTAAAACTACTGCTGTTTTAGTCCACGCACTACAGTATCCCAAATTTTTTGAAAGTAGTTTTTATTTTCTTAATTCCAAGCAACTATTCCGAGGCCTGGAAGAGCCTGGCCGCAACTCAACATACATGCCTCATCCCAAATTTTGAAAGTACTGTAGCTTTTATTTTCTTAATTCCAAGCAACTCTTGTTGGAGCGCAGTAAGAGCCGGGCCGCGGGCCGTAAAATGCCAGCCCTCTGTGAAACCTGGTGCAGTTGGGTTGCTTGTGTTAGGAATGTTCCGAACACTTTATTTCAACTTGAAATGAAATACATGAAAACATTGTGAATAAGTGTTAGAATAAATAAATACATACTGCATAGATCAAATAAAATAGAATAGAATAAAATAAAACACAGCTATGTTTTCTGTATCTTAGTAGGTAGTAGTCAGTCAAGTGAAAAGTTCCTTCATCAGACTAATCACACCTGGGCTGAGAACTGGTGAAATCCTCCACCCATGTTCGGGTGTAGTAGATAATGCGAAAGCCAAGTCTCTTCAACTCATAAATGTGCCTGCTGTCGATTGATCGACGGCATTCTGGGAACGCGCCATCGGCGCTTGCATTTAGTTGGTGCGCCGTCAGCTCCACGGCCGCCTTGAATTGGTTGTAAAAGGCCGTGACGTTGGACTGCAACTGGTTGCGGTGCTGGCGAGTCACATTCCCGACGATGGCCGGAATTTGTCGCTCCAAGTAGTCACTGATGGAGCACACCGCGTCTCTGACTTCGGCGCTGCTGTTCCCCACCGGGATGGTGATTCCATCCAAGGATTTCCACCTGTATTTCGGCGGCGGGTTCCCGTGGAAAATGTGCTGCACCTGGACACCAGAGGTTAGAGTGTCACACACACACAAAAACGTTGGAACTGTCCATTGTCATAGAAAGCAGGAAAACAAGGAGAACGACTTCACGGTCCATCACGGAAGAAAATTAAAAACAAAGTGAAAAATCCCTATTGAAACAACGAACCAGTGCGGGTTTATTTATACCCAATGTACGCCGTTGAGGATTTGACCCAGCATGTTGGGTCGGGCCAAGATTTTGATCCAAAAAGGGGTAAGAAAAACTATCCCGGGTCAACATTTAACTCGATCTAGGGTCAAATCAACCTAATCTGCAGAAAATTCACAGCAACCCATCATTTTCAGTGTGCATGGAGATAGGAAGAGTAAATGTGACTGGCAGCGATCACCGAAACATTGAGAAAAAATGAGAAAATCGATGACATTCTATCTGGAAGTAGTTTCTTGAAAAGATATATTAGTTTTCCTCAAAAATTCCCCCTCCTTTTTTCCAAAAATGCTTTTTTCCTTAAAATAACTTGACCTTTATTCTCAAAAATAACCATTTCCCCCCAATTTTTTTCCCTTGGAAGAATACAACATTCTTTTCTCAATATCACACCAATTTTTTCTCCCAGAAATGTTAGATTTTTTTTTTTTGCCTTCGGGGGAAGGGGGTGAACGATTTGTTTCTACAAAATATTCTCTTTTCTCTCAAATACATGATCTTCTTCACAAAAATATTTGACTTTTTCTTCTTGAAAAAACTTCTCTCATAAAATGTGAATTTTGGGGGGGAATAAAAAAAAAATATGTATACGGTACAATACCTGACATAGTCTTGAGTATATGTGAACGTATCCGTTGAAAAATATCCCCGTGTTCTGTTGCAAATATCCCCCTTTCACTCATGCACGCGCACTCTGTTTAGAAAGTGACTTACATAATCCCTTTCGGCCGCAACCAAATTACTCAGGGCCAGCTCCGCGCACTTGAGGTTCTTCCGCAGCATCGTGACCGCGTCGCCGGTGCAGGTCACCGTGACGATGCAGTACAGCTGCAGCAAAAGCACAAGTGGTAGATGCAGCTCACTTTGCAGTACACTCATCACGCTCCTGACATCATTTGACAAGCTTATTTATACATGCCAAGACTTTTTTTATTCTGGAAAAAAAAAAACTTGGCATCACTACAATATTTCACAATTTGCTGTGAGCACGGTGAGATAATGTCTCATGAATATCAGGTGGTATGACTTCAAGAAGCTGATGACACCTGTTACCCGTCGAAACACAACATCCGCGTTCAAATTGAACTCCGCAAAAGTGAATAAAGACATTCGTAGCGTTAAAAAAAAAATGCAAGAGAAAAATCTTCAGTGTTCAGCTCTGTATATGTGACGTCATTCCCATTGGCACTTTTGGCTCAGAGTGAGAGATGAGACAATCAGATAGGACGGGGAATTCCCGGTAGGGGAGTGTTAAGTGAAGACGTGCGGGCTAGCAGGAATATTTCTTTTGCAATGAGACTTCCGAGTTACGGGGATGAACTTTAGGCTGCACTTAACACACTGTTGCAACGCATGGGGGCCCTCTCGCCATTCCTTCATGCATCCATTGTCTGAACCGCATTATCCTCCTACCAACGGGGGTGCTGGAGCCCATCCCAGGTATCATCAGGTAGTAGGCGGGTTACACCCTGATCTGGTTGCAATACCAAAAACTCTTGACAGCCGGACATGTAAAATCGGTCCTTCGCTGAGTATACATGCCAAACAGTGAATAGCAGTCACCACTTCCTCCATTCCTATACGCGTGTGCAGAACACGACATAGGTAAAGTTACATTTTATTTCTAACGAAGCTTTTTGCAGTGCTGTATTCGTTGACCACTACCAGATTTCAAAGATTATAAAATAGATAAAATAGCACAACAATAGAATGAAGTTTTAATATCAATCAATCAATCAATCATGTCTTTGCGTTCAATGATCTTTTCTGTATGCTTTATTTCCCCAATTTTACAGACCGAAATTAAACTCAGATGACATTTTGAAGTTTAAAAGTACATTATTAATACTATTATTAATAATAGTATTAATAATATTATTAGTAGTATTAGTATTAGTAGTAGTAATATAAACCATTCAATTAAAAAATAATTTGTGTTGGCAAGAAATTTTCTGAAGGCATGCAAATTATCTTCGAAGACGATTTTTGTCTTTTTGTGACACGATGCATTTGACTGCTTTCTTGTTGTCGACTTTGAACGATGAACGTTTGATGACGAATCGGCGGAGACGCGCTGACCAATCAAATGCGCCGAATTCTTTTGAGTGACGATAGTTCTGTCCACCGACTGACCAGGAAGTCGCGCTCGCGGTTGCCTGGCAACCATCGCCGGCTGAGTCCAACAACGACGAGACGAGGTGCCGGAAGGAAAGGACGGAGGACCGAGCGAGGGAGTGCAGCTCAGCATGAGCTCGGTGGCGCTGTCGGCCGTTCTCGACAAGCATATTCGCCGCCTGTGCCTCGACCAGTTTCCTTGTGGAAAAGGCAGCTGGGTGAGTGAGGGCGTTGACGCGGTCGTCTTGGCGCCTTTTTACGACACATTGCGACAAATCGAAAGTCAGAACAACAGATCGGAGCGAAAAGCTTTTTTTTTTTTTTTTTAACCTTTTTGACAATTACTTTAAGTGTTATACTTTTGAAAAGTATTTTTAAATCAATTGTTTTGAAAAAAACTGAAAAAAATGTCATCCTTTGCATGTATGTAATTCGAACATGTACTGTGCATCGGTTGCTCATTAAAATGTGGTAAACCAATGTAATTTTTCCCTATGTTTTCCTCAAAAATAAACACATGATATGTTGGTTTAGCACATTTTAATCACGAAAAACCGAAAACCAAGTGCTTTTTTTCAGTGTACATTTTTTTCCAATATACTTGTATTTTTTTCCCAATAGCATAAACACGCAACTGTTGACAAAGACCAAAAAAAGTTCAATTTTAAAAACAAAATGAAAAAAATGTTAGAATTTAAAAAAGTTCAAATAACATCAGATTTAGTTAGAACATAAATGAAAAAAAAAAAACCTTCAAAACAAACTTGTGTTGCCAATAAAAACAGAGGAAGGACGGCGGCGGCGGCGGCAGCGAGGCGGAAGCGGTGACGGAGGACACAGACACGCTGCTGGATCTGCTGAGTTGCCCGCACTCGCCATGGCACCACGACGAGCCGTGGAGCCCGCAGGCCGCCGCCCTGCAGCGCGTGGCCGTGGTGCAGCCCGAGCGACTCGACGCCGACTTCGTGTGCAGCTACTTCAGGAAGCTGCGCATCGTCGACAAGGACGTGAGCAAGCTTCTTTTGTCTACCTTTTCTCTGCACCGGATGTGGAGTCTCACAATTGTTGACTGCGATTTGCTGCTTGGCCTTGTTGAGGTGTCTGTGATCGACAGCTACCTGCTGAAGTTCTGCAACCTGCAGGAACTTGTGCTCAGCGCCAATCGCATCTGCGAGATCTCAGCCGAGAACCTCCCCAGGACGCTAAAGGTGTGCCGATGCCTCCCGCTGTCTCATAAAAAAATTCACAGCAACATGACGGACAATGCTACCTATGTCACAAGGCTTTGATGCTGGCAAAATCGAGGTGTTGTATGGCATTGACTAACCCCTTAACAACACCTCAGCTTATGGATAGAATAGTAAATCATTATCAAACACTTATTCATAAATGTATAACATGTAAAAACCTTTACAAACACTAATCACGACAACGTAACTCTAACTTGAAACCTTACTTTGAATCCCTAATCCTGGTTTGAAACAGTATTTTGAAATCCAAGCCCTCGTTTCACTCCCTACTTTGAAATCCTAACTCAAGTTCGAAATTCTATTTTGAAACTCAGACCCGACTTTGTCATGCTTGCCCTAAATTTTGAAAGCCTCACCCGAATTTGAAATCGTAATGATAGTTTCAACCCCAACTCTCTTTTGGAACCCAACATTGAAAGGCTAATGCTAATTTCTTCCGTTCAGTAGGCTCTGTATGCACGCAATGGCTGTGCCATATCTAACTGGAAATGCGTGCCTTGCAGGTTTTGGAGCTGCGTGCCAACCAGCTGCGCGCCCTGGGCCGGCTGGCCATCTCTCCGCCCCCTCGCCTGCAGTATCTCGGGCTGGCTGCCAACCGTCTGGGATCCCATCGAGACGTCACCCAGCTCACAGGAAGTCAATGGTTGCTCCTCAACTTACTTCAACATAGTTCCTTAGAGGGCACCAAAGCAGTGTTTTTTTCTTCTCAACGCATTTCAAATGCTAAACTAAAACTCCGACCTAATTCTATGTTTAAAATGAGCTGTATTTAACCCTTTCATGCATCCTGTGACCTGAAAACATGATTTGGTGTCCACTGCAGTGACCGCTGTCCCCGAAACGCTTCAAGAAAAGTTAAATACAGCTAAATTGTATTTTGACATTATCGTCAACCACTCATTCCCGACTGCCTAAATAGTACACATTTAATTTTTGCAGAGTCGACTTTTTATAAAAGTCCCTCCGTGTGTGTGTGTGTGTGTGTGTGAGAAAGGCCTGAGCTGGTGTGTCTGGACCTGAGCGAGTGCGACTTCAGGGAGCAGCGCCCCCTGCTGAAGGCGCTGGGCACACTGCCGTGTCTGCGGACGCTGGTGCTGGAGGGCAACCCGTTCACGCTGGCGCCATCGTACCCGGGGTTCGCCGTGGACGCCCTGCCCCGCCTCTCCTACCTGGACGCGGCCTGGATCGCGCCCGAGGAGCGACACCGCTACCGGGGGATGGCCAACATGAGCCGTGAGGGGCCAGCCGGCGTTCCTTCGCATCCGCGTTTGTTCCTAATTGGATTGAATTGATTTTTTTTTTTTCACCAAAATCAATTAATTGAATGTTGCTTTTCGATCTCTCGTTAAAATTATTTGACAATTGATTGTAAATAGTTGAAAAAAGAAAAAATTGAAATAATTCTTGAAAAATACTATGAATTAAGAATGATTCATTATAAGCGACATTTTAAAATATGTAGGAATTGTTATTCAATTTGTTTAGAAAACATTTCTTCAAATCAAAAGAAACCTAAAATTCATTTTTAATTTTTGTTCCAATTTTATGTAAAATACAAAAATAGTGAAAGTAGCTCATTCACATTTTCATTTCATTAAATTATTCTTTTTTTCAATTTGTCTATGCAATAACAATTTAAAGTCTGCAGAATTTTTGTTTTTTTTACTATTGAAGAGTTTGACCTAAACTAGTAAAATGTTAGCAAGAGAAGCCATTTTGTTTCAAATAATTAACAATGAATTATACATGTGCACATAAAAAAAATATTTTATTGTTAAAATAAAAATTGTTTCAATATTTTACACTTGTTCAATCAAGCGGACCGTGGCGGCTGAGCTTGAAAGTTTGCGCCTCCAGATTCCCTGATCTTGATTTTTTTTTCCCGTCTTCGTTGGCTGTCACGTCAGACCTTCTGGTGGACTGGGCGTCGGCCACGGTGTGCGTGGGCGTGATGCAGGGGGTCCCGGACCCGCAGCTGGATGCGGACCCCGATGCTCCGGAGTTCCCGGTGGTCAGCTATAGCTACGTGATCTCGTACATGTTCTTCAGTCACCAGAGCACCGCCTACCGGGTACCATGCGCCTGCTCCTCTTCACGCAGCTTGCTCAGCAGTCACAGACGCAAGATGGCATTCTTTGCAGGAAGTCGTGATTGGCGCTGCGGCGAAGCGTCAGAGTCAGGGGCAGGGGCAGGATCAGGGTCAGGACCAGGGTGCTGAACCAATCCAGACCCCCAACAAGAGGACTGTCAAAGAGACTGTGGTAGTCCAAGCGGCAGCCGGCAGCCAGGAACAAGCTGCCTTCTCCTATGGTAATAGCAATAGCGCATTTATAACATCAAGAACACATCTACAACATGTCATGTATTATCCACATACAATTCATTTATAATGTCATAATGATGAATGAATACATTCACATTCACGACATAACATAACACATTTACGAAAGCAGCCGCATGTCACATTTATATGTAATAACACATTTATATGATGTAATTACATGTTGACTAATATTCAAACAATGTAATAACACATTTAATAACACACCAATACATTTTTGACATGTAATAACATTTCTAAAAGAAGGAATTACAAATTGGTAACATAATAACTCACTAGGACACTTATAACATGCAATAACACATTGCACACATGTAAAAACACTCAGATTTGAGTAAAGACACATTTACAAACACAGTAAAGTATTTTCTTACAGTTGAATCTCACCATGTATTTAAAAATACTTACATGAATTTATAACGATAATGAATGGCGCACCTGAATAACATGCTTTCAACCCGTATAACACAGTCACTAACACACAGCACAATATATACGTTGTAATGGGAATATGTCATAACTTGACACATCTGTAACTGGTGTAACAATCTATTAAAAAAAAAAAAAAAAAAAAAGAATCGAGCGTAAGCTGTTGATGATAAATTTCATGGAACAAATTTAGGCGGTAAATTTCAGTCAGTGCTATTTGTTTCGAGATGAAAGTCCTCCGGATTTTCACGGAATTCTGGATTTTCAAATTTTCATGAAATTTCCTCCGGAAAACTGAGGAAAAATTGCCTAAAATTAATCCGGATATTAGTTGACAACATTGAACGAGTACGTGTTTGAGTTTGTTGTTTTGCTTTTACGAGTGGAGCCATGGTGAGGCACTAACATCAGTTACAGTAACACCCCTCCCCTCGCATTCTTATGACCTCGCCATATCTCGGAAATTTCGGCGAAAACGAAAGCCACAAAGGGTGCATGTGCTCGCGAAAGGCAGATTAATCATTCAATGTCAAGTATTTTAACAGCATTCTGTGGAAACTAATTCATGCGTGATCGGCCAGGTACACCCCGTGAGCAATGTTCAAACAGGTCGACAGGCAAGCTGGCATATGTGCAATCGGCGCGAGTATTAGGAACACGTTCAAGCGGTCATGGCTTGAGGAAAAGGACTTGAACGGAGATTTTTTTTTTGTCCGACTACTTTAGAAAGGTCGACAAACCTGGTAGGTCAGTTTAAATTTTATATGTATATAT